CGACACCACAGACGAGAGAGACCGAGACGACACCACAGACGAGAGAGACCGAGACGACACCACAGACGTGGTAGCTCAAGATGACACCACAGACGAGGAAGATGAAGGTGGCCCCAGTTACGATGAGTTTTGTTCGCGGACTCATGAGTTCATCCCAGCTCTTCAAGTAGAGCGCGACTCTGACACCGAAGAGGGTTTCCTCCCCCTGCGATTCGGCTTCCCCGTGGCAACTGTGATTTGCTATGAAAGGAGCGGATACCGAAGGAGTAACGAGGGTTACACTTCGTTTCATATTGTCTTCCATCCAATTGACAAGAGCATTTGGATGGTGATGGATCGCTACCGGTGCCCGGATGATTCCGAAGATTCAGACGGCAGTCTTTGGGCATATAATAACAACAAAAAAGCAATGGCCGTTCTACGTGACGTATTTCAGTATCATAGAAGCTACGACTCAGATTCAAATACAGATTTAGATTCGGATTCAGATTCAGATTCGGATTCGGATTCGGATTCAGATTCAGATTCGGATTCAGGTTATGATTCAAATTCCGGTTATGATTCAAATTCAGGTTATGATTCAAATTCAGATTATGATTCAAATTCAGGTTATGATTTACCTGCAAGTTCAGATGAAGATGAACAGAAGTGGGACAAGTTTGCGGTGGCCGAGGCATTCCGCGTGGGAACAAAGGAACTTTGGTTCCCTCAAGGCTTGGGCTTAAGTGAGCTCGACGGCGCAGGTCTCGATGGTAACAAGTTTGAAGAACGAGTTTCTCGATTCAAAGGTCCGCCGCCGCAAATTAAGTTACGCAGACTTCCAAAGGTTCCGCTGTTTCCAGACGGGGAGCGCCTTCGAATTCGTTTCGCAAAGCGAGCCCAATTCCAGAGCTATCTTGCAGAAAACGGTGTGGTGAAAGGCCGCTCATGGCTTAGTGTGACATCAGTGCCTAGTTGAGATTCTACGCATCTGCAGCATGGTGTCAGCTTTCTTGAAGTGCAAGCCGCACAAGGCTGAAAATCAAGTGCTAGGCACTGATTGGAATGGATCAGTGTCTGGACAAGTCGGTGCTCATAACGGCGCCAATGGGACAAGTTAGTCAATCCCAGTGAATCAGTGCGAAGTAATTTGATGTCAATTAGAAAAGAACAAATGGAGTTTGTGCAATGAAAACTGATCAAATGGAACTTCTTTGTGCAATTGAAACAGATCAAATGGAAAGTAAACATTCCCACCACCAGCACCCTTGAGGTTGTCTTCCATACTTCGAGAAGAAACCCAATGCTCTCAAACATTTCACTTGAAGAGATGACGGGTGCGACAGTTTCCCATATCTACTATGAGTAAAATCTGGACCCAACGGGCTAGCCCACGACTAAGGGGTGATTCTCAGCCTGAAGCTGAGAGCGACTTCAGCAGTTAAAACATCCTTTTATCAACTTGCGAGTCAAATTACTCTGGGACAAACCCTGCGAAATCAAAAGCCTTGATGGATCAAAGACCTGACTTAACCTCTGCATATCGAAGCTGTGAGATAGGTAGATGTCTCAACCTAGCCACCACTTCAACAAAGCGAGTGCTCAGATAATGATCATGAGCTGTTTCGCGACAGAACAATGCTCATACCTGAGCCATGGACGGTAAGAGGTATACAAGAGAAGCGCTCCGGTGTCGAGATGGGAGTGCTCTACGCCCATTCTCATCATCATGGCTGATTCCTGCGAATACATTATTGACTCTGTGGAAAATTTCTGGAAGATAGAAACAGACGAGGACTGCAAAGATGAGAATCTCGAAATCCTTACAGTGGGCGTGAACAATATGTACAGCATTGCGAATTGTGCGAACGATCTGATTTCCGGAAAGGATGGCCTCAAACTCAAAGCATACTCGACATACCAGCGACTGGTCAAAGTCCTCGATTTCGTTTTTAAGGGAGCACAGTTATTCCAGCACAATGCCTCGAAATCGGGTCTTCCAGAAGAACAGTTGAAACCCCTATCAAAGACCATTGACGACTTTAAGGGCGTTTTGGACCGCCTCAAGAGTGATCTCCCTGAAGATATCGTTGGGAACAAGAACGAAATACCCAACTCGTCGGCAATTGAGCTTCTCCTTGAATTGTTCTACAAAGCTTGCCCCGACGTGGATGACATTATCTGTACGCAATCGGCAACATTATCATTGGCATGTCTTGGTGACTGATTGATTATAGATGAATTCGCGATGGCCTTCGAAGCCAGATTCGGCAAGTACTTCACAGAAAACAAAAATTGCGGGTTGCCCAGAGTAGTCTTCATATGCTATGTGAGCAGTGGCATTATTGTCACAGCTTCCGCAGTCAAATGGCAGTTATCTTTCAAGAAGGTGATGGAGAGAGAGATGAAGAAAAAGGACAAGAAGGAGGAGGAAGAAGAGAAGAATGAGAATGAAAATGAGAATACAGACAGAAAAGGGTTTGACAGGGTGAATGAGAGGCTGATTCAGTGGCGGAAGACTCGCTTTCCATCGGGCTCGACACAGACGGCAAAAGAGTTGTCCAAAAAAGTGTTTGGTGCCTCCACTGCAAAGAAGCAGGGCATCGGCTGCGTGCTAAAAGAACAAAACGTCAAGGCCTTCGACCACTCGAACATTCAAGGAGGCGCTTTTCATGTCCTGCAGGGAGCAGGTAGCATTCTCAAGATCCACCGTCCGTGCAACAAATGTCGCCGCATGTACAATTTTGCATACATCGGTCCGAAAGGCAGCGTCCAAGACGGGAGAATCTTCCAATATGGCAGCTGCGCGGAAGATCTATGCCATGTCTTATTGGAAAACGACAAAGCATCAGACCGGGAGCCGGATACATCTCTGTGCTGAACAAAGGCACTCTTCGACCAACTCTCCCCTCTCTTCATCAACAACCGACGTCTTCTTCGCCTTCTCGTTCACAATCAGCAGTGGCTTCTCCTCAACCACCAGAGACTCTGCGCCTGTGGGCGGCTTCTGAGCATGACATGTTGGCGCGCGGCGAGCAAATGGTTGTTGCACGCGAGATGACCGATAGTGAGAAAAGGCCCTCCATTCGAAATAGCTTCGAGCATACTCCGTGTACAGCGTCATTTACAGTGTGGCCCGGGACTGGCGGCATTTCCGTTTCGGCCCTTGGAGCCCATCTTGTTTCCGTCAAGATCTTCGGAAAGCACAGTATATATGTATCAGGCAATGTTCAGAATCATGTCTTTACCACCTCGGGAAGGGCCATTCAAGTAAATCCTCCACCTCTGCAGGCCTTCTCCATGACCCCATTGGTCATCCACCATCTGTGCCAACAACGTCGACGGGAGCGCCCTGAGAATGATATTCCCGAGTCTCCTTGCGAAAATCCAACCCTCAGCCGACGCATGTGGTTTTCTATGTCGGGTTAAGCATACTCGCATCCGTTCTCGTCTTCCTCCTAGCTCCAAAGACAAGGGTGAGTTCGGTTCTTACTACCCTTTCTTCAACATTCACACTACTTGAACGAGTCGATGATGACGATCAATTTCTCTTTGGCTACGCACTCTCGAGGAGCTCGATTGCCCTTTTGCCGTCCCTGCACGGGGACACATCTCGTACCAACTCGGAACTTGGCTACCGTTTTGGTTCAGACCGTATGTGCCTTAGCAGAAATCCGCCAATTGTGAGGATCTTTGTCACTTTGAGGGTATTGGTGGCACTCGTGTCGAGGCAATGGCTACACATTAAACAGATTTGGTCCGTTTGATGATATTGTCTTGAGCTTCGCGGCTGTGATGATATATTGCTGACTAGTTGATATACTATTCACGGTGGCGGAAATGATATTGCCTTTAGTAGCTTGCTTCTCCTATTTGTACCCTTCTTGGTGTTTTGCAATCGACGACTCCGATGCTTGTTTTTGAATCATCGAATTTTAATTTTCCATTTCTGGTCCGACCAAACGACTCACGACCACCTCCCAAAACAACACCTCCTGGTTCCTAAGAGAAGCCTACGTAGTTCTCAAGGCGCTGCAGGAGGAGAACTGGTGGCGCCGAGAGTGGTCTTGTGGTTCACGTCCTCCAACTCGATTGACTGTTCTTTCACGCCGTCTTGGTCGGGTATCATTACCTCGTCTCGTTCAACCCATTCGTACGCCACATCACGGATGTACCACTTATCTTGGTACTTTTTGAAGAAGTAGTCCATTTGTTCCAAGCTACGGCCGGCCTTTTTTGGTTACCAATCAGTCAGCATCGGCACCTTCGTAATCAAAACCAGTGTGCTGCATTTCCGTTCTCTCAGAGAAAAAAAAGGGGGGGCTGGCCGTGCTTACAGTCTCGGGTACCAACGCCCAAACCATTGGAATGAATGCCAGGGTGATGACCATCCAGATGAGATAAAATCGCCTTTAATTTCCCAAACAAGTTAGTCGTAATTTTTGCCGGTTTAAATCATTCGAGGCAGGAAAGAAAGGGGGCCGTTTTTCACCATGACAAGTTTGCCACTCCTACAGGAGATACCATGACGACTGTAATTTTGGCACGAGCCTTGGTCAGCTGGGAAAATCTCGATCAAAGTCTACATCGGATACGTTGGACTCACTTAGGAAGCAACCGGCCCAGAGACCCATGCTTTGCACCGCATTACCTTTATGGCGGCTTCGTAAAGAAGTGACCTCGGGTGCGTAAACACTATTGGATGCATGATTAGAATTTTGTTTCTTGGGCTCTACAGTGAGTCCCAAGGCCGAAGAGAAGAACTCACAATGGAATTGGACAGCATCTGTTTGTATCATCGCATCGAATAGTCAGCAAAAGGGGTTTACTCAATCATCCAAATGAAATTGAAGCAGAAAAGAAATCACGGCAATAGTGGCGTCACACTCACCCCAGGCCGAAACAGAACTCAAAGGCCAGAATGAATGCGGTGGCAGCCCAACCGGATGATTCCCGATGCTCTGGATGGTTGATACCAAAACCGATGGCCGCCGCGATTCCGCCCATGGTAAAGACCTCGAGCCAGGCACTAATGAGTAAAGTCTTTCGTCGCCCAGCGCGTTCGATCCACTGTTGCGTGTTGATTGATAGATAACGTGTAAGCCTCTCACTTTGCCAGTAACAAAACGATCGACAGTGAGTCAGGTCGGAGACTTACTAGGATGGGCAGTAGGGTCCCTACCAACATCGCTATACTTCCGACTCCTCCCATGATAAAAGCCATGCGGGGTGTTAGTCCGGCGTCTTGGAAAACCACTGGAGCATAATACACAATGGCATTGACACCGGTAATCTGCAAAAGGGGGGCAGTAAGTAACCAGGTCGAATTCCTTTTTGGGTTTTTGCTAAGACCAAAATTCGGTGCATACACACCTGCTGTAGCAAACCAACAACGAAGCCACTTAGAAGCAGGCGCCGACCGTTTTGGAGCTCTCCACCACCGAATGTCTATATGTAAATACAATCATGTTAGCAAATGGATCAATGATATTTGCTTGGAAGGTCGGATCCAAGCCAGCTGGCTTCATGGCGGCAACAGGAGAACTCACGTCGCGCCAGGTGGTGGAAGCCTCGAGTTCGGCTTCATGTTGGGCTACCAATATGATTTCATTGGCCAAACTGAGGATGTGAGGTGAGGTATCGGTGGCGCCTTTTCCCTCCAAGAGTGCAAGCACTGAAGCCACCTCTTTCAAACTAGCACCCCTGGATGCTAGCCATCGCGGACTCTCGGGACAGAAGGGCAAAAGAAAGAAGACGAACACGGGGAACGTCATCTGAACTATAAGACATTCAGAACGCTTCGATGTCAGCATTGCAACAAAAAAGGGAGACAAGGAAAAAGGAAACGCAATCATGGAACGACACCACGACTTACTACCCAGTGCGGTTCTCCATTGACCGTCTTTTCCTGCTAGACTAGGAGTTTCAAACACAAGGCCATAGTTTGTAAATCCAGATATGACGATGCCCTATGGGAGTTGAGAAAAGTGTCAGTAATGCTCTTTGACGAGTGACGCAGCATCCATGCTCTCAAGACCATACCGTGACGACGATTGCTAGTTGAATGCAAATCATGATGCCTCTCCTCGAAGCTTTGCAACACTCGCTGATGTACATCGGGACCTTGTTTTGATAAGCAAAAAGTCAGATAACACTCGTTTTGGCAACTGGTCCAAGTCGGACGATGTTTTTTTATTCATGGGTACTAAGTACTCACCGTGGCCGAAACAGCACCAACGCCAACACCGGCTACAATCCTGCCCACTTTGATCTGACTGTTAGAGGTACACGACAAGCTAAGGTATTTAAAAACATACCGATAAATTGAGCGACTGAATATGATGCCGTCTGCAAGGCGGCACCGACAAGAAGGACAACGCAGCCAATGGCAATTGTCCATCGGCGTCCGGTGAGGTTGGCAAAGTAGAAACACAGCATGGCCCCGAGCAGACAGCCCAGCTATCGAGCACGACGATGTCAATTTCTTTCTCTTTCTGGCCAAGGATGTTTGAATTTTCACACTCAAAAACTCACGTCGTAACTGGCTACCATGAATCCTTGCATGGTTGGGCTTGGATGTCTAAAACGCTCCTGGAATTGAGGCAGTGCCAGTAAGCCTCCCATGACTCCTTGATCACTGGAAAGAAGAGCCAGACGAAGGTTAGCCAACGAATTTTCCATACAGTGGGCCACGGGAGCTGCACTTACTAGCCAAAAAGGAGGAATGCAAATCCTCCGGTCACGTTGATGAGGACTTGTAATGGGTTCCCCGTGAGGCCCATGATGATGGAGACTTGGTTTTGGTTCCGTTGATGGAATCCTGCGAGGGGGGATACAGTGTGAGGGAGGATCACTTGTTATACCGGATGATGATAGTGGAGGATCGTTGGAAGAGGAAGAGGAAGAAGAACAAAGAATCAGATGTATATACGTATGTATTGATGGACTTGAAAAGACCTTTTACAGCTCAAGTATATGATATACCTCTCTGAACTCAGGGCTGGTGAGACCTCTCCCCCGTACATACCCCAGGTTCCCGCCCGCCGACCACCCCAGGAATCGAACGGAACAAGCCAAAATCAAACCAAACAACCGATCACGGGCCAATCGGTTGCAGTCAATGGTCAATAGTATATCCAGAATGCTAGGCCTAAAGATTCCGCCCCGGGTTGTTGCGAAAGGACCAAGGCAGTCGGGTGTGTGGAGACCTCAAAAAAAGGGTTGCCCGACACGAGGTTGAAAATTAGGCTCGGCCACTCGACGTTTTGCCGAACGGTGAAAGCTTCTGGGTCTCAGAGGTGATATCCAAGATTAGCAGACACCCGCTGACCCGAAATAAATGTCTGCAATGAGAAAGAGGCATACACAATGTCCGGCCGACCCAATGGTCTAGCGTACTGTTTCGTGGGTTGAGCAAAGAGTAACAATTTGAACAATGCATATTTGGCTTGTGGAAGTCTGAGTGACTCGACTGGCTGTATGGGCAAGATTTCACCCGACGCCTTCTTCCCTTCTACTATTATCTTTTTCTTTGGATAGGCCGCCTGCACTGGCTGGTCCCCTCTTCCCGCCCTTCTCCGGTTAGAATGTCTATTACAACCACCTCCATTATCATGCAAGCATTGAATCAAGAAGACCTCTTTACGCTGGTCGGCGAGACAGCGTTGGTGACGGGAGCGACACGAGGAATTGGAAAGTCAATGGCTCTGGCTTTGGCCAGAGCTGGGGCTAAAGTCCTCCTTGTTCAAGTAGGTTGGGCCTGCGGGAGGGGGGATTATTGATCGTTGTCGCCCCGTGCTGATTAATCTTCGTCCAAAGCGCGATATCTCGGCCACGAGTGTGAGGGATGAGATCAACTCCAGTGTACCCGAGGCAACAAGGCATGCACAGATATACGAAGCGGACCTTGCAAACCGAGAATCCGTTGAAGGGTTGGTGGCTCAGGTCGAGGGCCACGGACATCGCATCACGATCTTGGTCAATTCCGCCGGCATCATCATCAGACATCCAATTACAGAATTTCCGTCGGGTGATTGGGATAAAGTGAGTGTGTGTTTTTATGTGGAGATAGGAAGTCGAGAAGTCTCCCACACGGAGTGAACCTCTGAAGTAAAGAGAGAGGATTGCCCTCTGACAGACACTTCGATTGCTGACTCGCAACTCGCTCTCGACCCCCTTATATAGGTCATCGAAGTGAACCTCAACAGTTGCTTTATCCTGTCTCGAGACGTGGCCAGGCACATGTTGGAGAACGAAATGGTCCGAGGTCAAAGGGGTAGCATCGTCAACGTCGCTTCCATCATGTCCTTCCAAGGCGGCCTCAACGTGTCGGCCTACGCGGCTTCCAAGGGAGGCCTGACGCAACTCACCAAGAGTTTCTCCAACGAGTTGGCCTCGAGAGGGATCCGGGTCAACGCCATCGCGCCTGGATACTGCGTCACCGAGATGAACGAGCAGCTGTTCCAAGACAAGGACCGGTCACGCTCGTTGTCGGAGCGCATTCCCATGGGCAGATGGGGACAGGCGAGCGACTTTGCCGGGTAAGTTTGAAAAAGAGCACTCTTATCAGGTTTGGACAACTTTCGTCTGATTTTGCTGACGATGGATTTAATTTGTGTCGATTGAACATAGCCCTGTCATCTTTCTCGCGAGCCGAGCAAGTGCTTATATGACTGGAGAGACATTGACGGTTGACGGAGGGTGGATGTCGAGGTAATCCGTAAGAGATGATTCTTCTCTTGAAAAACAACAGAGAAAATCCATTAGATTTACAAGGCTTGACGCGAAAAGATGTTGAGGACTGTTACACTCCGTATGAAAGAACGTTTCAAGCTTGGGTAGTAGTACCAAGGGAACGAATACTACCCGACCAATCTGAAGAATAAAACCCAGAAAAGTATGTCATCGATACTACGTGGGTGTGTGTCCGTCGATCAAGATATCTGGCATATTCATACTGGAACAATAGTTGATCGGGAAGAAGTGTGTTCATCATTTATACGAGTGTAATAAACCTGTGTCTTGATCATGATAGAGTGTATCCGGAGTAACCTTCGCTCGCACAATTCCAGAGCCTTTTGCGGTACTCGGGCATGCCGGCCATGTAGTTCAAAGCCTCCCGAGGCTTGCCTGGGATGTTGTCGCCAAAGTACCAGCTCTTGGCCTGGGGGAACAGACCTTGTTCGCCAACGTCGAGGACGTGCTCCCTCCATTCCCGCTCGGCGTCCTCGTTGGTCTCTATCTTGTTGTAGCCGTGTACTCGCATGTGCCTCAGGCAGGTCGTGATCCAGTCGCCCTGCAGCTCCGCCGTCGCCGGCCCCGTGGCGAAGGCCGTCGGGGCCTGTGGGCCGTAAGTGAAGAACATGTTGGGAAATCCATGCGCACTGATTCCAAGGTGGGTATAGACACCCCCTGACCACTTCTTCGCGATGTTGCTGCCGCCGCCGCCCGTCCCTTTGATGTCGATACTGGTGATGCCACCCGACACCGAGTCGAACCCCGTAGCTAAAACGATCAGGTCCAACTCGTAGACCTTGCCGTCTGTGGTCTGGATGCCTTCCGGCACGAATCGGGCGATCGAATTATTCTCCTCGGAAAGACTTACTAGCTGGACGTGTGGTTGGTTAAACACTTCAAAATAGTCCTGTTCGAGACTGACCCGCTTGGTGCCGAACGGATGCGGAGGTGTCTTGGGAAGCAGAAGCTCTGCCAGTTTCGGGTCCTTGATGCGTGGTGCCGTCCGCCCGTGGTAGAAATCATAGGCGAGCTTGTTGGCCTCCTCGCTCAGCAGCATGTCCGAGTAATTCCCTAGCCAGAACTCTAGACCACCGGAGTTGAATAGCTGCTCGTACGTCTTGAGGCGGTCGTCGTTGGAAACGGCCGTCGTCACTTCTGGAACCATGTTGTACACGAAACCCGCGTGGGACGTCCGGATGGTCTTGACCAAGTCCGGCATATCACGCCTGAGGGCCGAGTTTGCCTCCCCGTCCATGGTCGGGTTCGACATCGGGAGCGCCAAGTTGGGCGTCCTCTGGAAGACGGTCAGCTGGGCGGCTTCCTTGTACATTGCCTGCGTCGCCTGGACCCCCGACGCCCCCGTACCGATGATGCCGACCCGCTTGCCCTTCCAGTCGACGCCGCCGGACTGCGGCCATCGCGCGGTGTGATGGCACTCGCCCCTGAACTTGTCCATGTCTGGGTATGGCGGGATGTATGGTTTGGATGCAAAGCCGGTGCACAGTACGAGGTATTGTGCTCGTAACGTCGTCGACGTTGACGAGGTCTTGTTCAGGACCGAGATGGACCAATGACAACTGACATCATCCCATGACGCCTCCGTCACTCGAGAATCAAATTGGATGTTCGGATACACGTCCCAGACCTTGCCAACGTGGTGGAAGTACTCCATGATGTGATTGCGGTCGGGGAAGCGCTCCTTCCAGGTCCAATCTGCCCACGTTTCGGTGCCGGTGAATTGGTAGGCCGGAACTTTGGTGTCGACTCGTGCTCCAGGGTAGCAATTCCAATACCTTTGGTCGGTGTTTGATCATCAGTTTCTTTTCGTGCCAATTTTGAGGTTGTTACAGGCAGATAGACGCTCTCTCTCACCATGTACCACCCACGTCTGACCCTTCATCCACCACTCGCGCGGTGAATCCGGCTTCTCGCAATCGATGGACGAGGTAGAGACCGGAAAAACCTGCTCCTACAATGACCACGTCGAAGCAACTCTCGTTGCCCATGATGATGGTGATGATAAAACCACACCAATCAGTTCTATGCTTGAGATATTTTCTTTCGAGTACTAAGAACAGAGATATCAAAGTTTTTCGGTCCAATACTTCCAGGGCTCTCAATATGTCCAAATAAGAACCGACATCTCGAAATACTCTGCTGAGACATGTATCTTTACGAGTAGCCCGCCAATTGTCTATCCCTTACGACTAACCGGGGTCCGGGGTTTTAAAGTGGGGCGCGTTCTGTCCGTCCTTTCAATGCGGAGCTCCTGATGGGGTATGGTGCGGTTCATCAGTTCAGCCGAGCCTGTTCGTGCGGTTGTTTCGACTTGCAATACAGCTCCGCGGCTCGTACATCTAGGTATATGCCACCGTAGCCTCGCTCATATCGGCAGAAAAGGAACGATGGCAACGCGCTGCTGTCTGATGCCGGCTTAGCCGTTCAACGATGGAGAGAGTAGTAGTGGTATTGCCGAGACTTCAAAGTCACGGGCAAGGCCTCTCTGAGAATCTTTACACGTAGCAAAAAGGCTATGCTTACTCAATGTCCCAATTTGATCCTATTTGTTGTGTTCTCATAGGCTCTGACAAGATCATAGGTGAGGTTATTGGTTAGATAGAACTATGCTCATAGTACTCCGTCGGTCTCGACTACTACAAACTGCCATAAGCCCAAGAATGTATGAAATCTAGTCGAAATTTTATGCAAAGCAAAAACGCTCAAAGTGCTCGAATTCGTCGCTCTCTATCCCTCAAGAGTCGGCGGAGAATCTTGCCACTGGCATTCTTCGGAATCGCGTTGACAAATTCCACACCTCCTTTCAGACGCTTGGATTTGGCCTTGTGTTTCTCGACATGCCGACTTATCTGCCTCGCCAGTGTCGCCATTTCGACGTCCTTGTACGCGGTACTCCTGACGATGAAAGCCTTGGGTACTTCACCGTCGGTGTCGTGGTTCACACCGACCACTGCTGCATCTGCGACCGCCGGATGTTCCAACAAATGTGCTTCCAGCTCGGCCGGAGCGACTTGATAGCCCTTTCACACCAGTATTGTTAGACCGACGCTTTGTGCCTTTCTGCATGTGAGTTCTAGTTTTCTTACCTTGACCTTGATCAGCTCCTTGATCCGCTCCACGATGAATAGATGCTCGTGACCCTTGGGACTCAGTCGCACAAGTGCCTGGTCTCCGGTCTTCATCCAACCATCTTGATACAGCTCGTTCGTTTCGGTGGGGCTTTTGTAGTAGCCCATACACGCGCTGGGGGATCTGATGAGGAGCTCCCCTACTTTTCCGTGCGTGGTTATTTCCCTTCCGACGGGAGAAACAAGCTTTGCCTCACATCCAGGAAGCAGAGAACCCGAAGATCCCAGCCAAACATCTTGCGGAACGGTGTGGCAAAAGTTTCCACAGCTCTCGGTTAGACCTACAAAGACGAATCAGTTTCGTGCGCATGCTTTGTTGGGTGATGATCATTGTGTGCCCTAACCATAACCTTGTCGGATGGGGCATTGTGGCAACACCGTGGACAACTGGTCGGTCAGTCCGGGAGCCAACGGTGCGGCTCCACTGTAGATGAATTTTATACTGCTGAGATCGTACGTCTTCATGACTTCTTGATTCCGCAACATGGAGATGATGATAGGAGGCACCTATAAGCAAAAGACCCAAGCTTGGTAAGTAAAATCGAATGATGATGAGCCGGGGGGGCCAGCACAAGATACTTACCAGAAACATCGACGTGATACCGTATCTCTGTACGGCGGAAAGACATGTGGCGAGAGTGAAGCGAGGAAGCACGATTACCTCGTCTCCACGATAGGCGCTCGCGTGGCAGATGACCGTTAGACCGTAGATATGACTTTGAGGTAACAGGCCGAGAGAAACATGATGTTTCAACCCTCCTCGACTTTGACTCTCAAAGGTACAGACCTGTAGAACCTGGGAAATGACATTCTTATGAGAAAGCATGACGGCTTTCTAAGAGAGCCCAGTTAGTTACCGCGATGGTTCACTTTTTGCACGAAACAAAAGGGGTCAGTAGGTAGAGAGCAGAACCGACCGGTACACCTGAAGTGCCGCTACTCCACGACAGAAACGCTGTCCGCGTCTCGCCCTCTCTGTCATTCCATTCGACAGTTGGCAACGGGGAAATCTTCTCCCCGAGATCTATCAGATTGTCAAGAGTCAAATAACTGGTGGGCGTGTCTGGACACGGAGGTTGACCGTCGACAACGGTGCCTATATCCTCAATGATGAAGATGCGAGAGTCTGGAATTCCGTACGTCTTCGCTGCTTTTTGGGTCGTCGCCAACAGTGACCGACTGGTGAAAATTGCTCCACAGCCCGAGGCCTTGAGGAAATATCTCAACTCTGACACAGAGCTCATAGGATTGACAGTGCACACGACGCCCAACAGCCGATGGATCGCCCACATCAGCGGAAGGTTATCGATCTGTTGTAGTCAATGAGAGGGTGCACTTATGTGATCACCGATATCTGGGGTGGATATTCACGAGGACTTACCGTGTTGAAAGAGAAGATCAACCCGATCTTGTCCCATTCCGTCCCGTGCTGAGGCGACCATCCTATCTGTTGGGAAATGCCTCGAGCCAGCAGGTCGACTCTGTCCCTCACCTCGGCCGCAGAATATCGTTTTCCGGACAGACCACACGTGAACGGTGGTCTCGACTCCTCGAGCGGACAACGACCGTATCTCTCGTTCAGCATGAAATCCGCAATGGACAAATTTGCTGGGGGCTCAACCGGGAGCTCGGGAACCCATGTTGGTGGTCTGAAAACCATGTTGCGCCTTCGATGCAGATGGATGTTGAACGCCGGCCCAATATAACAAAACAATGTTATGCAAACAAAGACGGGTACGTGATGGCTTCAGCGCGAGGGAGCAGTGATTTTATCGACGGTATGGTGTGTGGTGAGAGTTTCTAGGCTCTACAGAATCACCCGTCCATCATGAGGCAGAGGTGATTGCAACTGTCTTCGGTCCGGCTCTCGGCAACACCAAAACTTTGACCTGGTTGGCCCACATGCTGCGTACCTCGGTGGAATATACCTGGGTACAAAGAACTACCGTGGACACTCGCAACTCCTGCTACCTGCGCATCCTGTCACTGATCATTCATGCAGAGGGTCTAAAGTAAGCATACCCAGACATCAACGGACGGACCAGTGCTCAATTTTGGACTCTATACATTTCTACAAACTCAACTTCTACCTGGCCAAACCTCTCTATAGTCTACTCTTGCCAATGCCCGAGTTTGGGCCCACCCCAGCGTCTTCCTTGCCCAGACTAGGCGTGAACCGGTTCAAGGGATTCAGCTGGGTCGCTCGGAAGAACAGGTCTTCGTACACCCGGCCATCATATCTCCCCAGCGAGCTGTCCAACAGCCAGTCTGGGAGTCGCCACGCGTCCACCAAGCGCACCGCGTGAGGACGCAGCTCGGCCAAAAGCCGTGGCTTTGTCGTGTGTATTGCTTCCTCTACCTGCCCGACTTTCAATGCCGACGAGGTGTAAAACTCGTGGGCGGCCATCTCGATGACCACAAGGCTGTAGAGGCGGAACAACTTCCACAAGATCTCTCTCGACTCGGCGTTCAATGCTTGCCGCGTTTTGGCGCTTGTCAAGTCGTCGTAGAAGGCCTTGACCGCCAAGTACTGGGAATGCGCGGTGCTCAATCGCCAGCAGTCGACCTGCAGACTCTTCCACGACGCTCCATCTTCGTCCCGGCGCCGGAGAGTCTTGAACGTCATGTCTGCCGCTCTCCATGCAAAAGCTTCGACGACGTGCTCATCTCGAGACAAGTCGTATCGGCGGCACCCACGACCCCGCAGGGCATGGAACCGACTCAAGTTGGAGCTGGTTGCATTGTGAGGCGGCTTGCCCCCGAGGGCATCGCGAGCGACGCCCAACGACTGCACACAGTGTTAGCATGCGTGAGACTTTTCGAGATTTTCAGCCAAGAGAGAGAAGAACGTACGTATTTTGCGACTTGGAGAGTCAACATGAAATTGTCACCCTCCCACGTGGTTGTCGGCACATAGTCAGCGTACCATGGTCCGATCCCGCTAAAGCTCGAGTAGCCATGTCCGCCGCACGCACGCCGGGCAACTTCGAGGCCTTCGGCAGCCGCGGTCGTCGCCAACGCCTTGAGGCCACACGAAGTGGCATGGAGCTCAGCAAAGAGTTGCCGTGACTGTGAGTGACCGTCGTCATCAGAGCTCGCGTTGCCGCCAGGCAAACTCTCGCTGGCACGCTTGTACAGTGCCATCATGGCCGTTCCCGTGATGTGCATGGCAAATGCCGTCGCAATCAGAGGAAACAGCCGGTTCTGCACCATCGGGTAATCTAGAACCTGCAGCTCCTCCGTCTGTATCGGCTGGTCTCGGTCTGAGAACTGTCTTCTGATCGCGCAGTACCTCGTCGCGATGGTTGCTCCGCGAGCAAGAGCTCGGCCGGCGTCGAGAACAATAGAAGACCGCAGCATCGTCAAAGTGCCATAGACCAGAGCAGGAGATGCTGGCTTCACATACCGACCTGATTGTGGATCGACCCTGGCGAACCTATCTACGACTTTAGCAACTTTCAGGGTTAAGTCTTGAAGTGCCCCCCAAGGAAGATCTTTAAGGAGAATGTCTTACCTCGCAAGCATGTTGACGTGAGGAATTTTGACTTTCTTGAATAGCAAGAAACCGTTGTCCATGGTGCTGCAAATTACGGTCATAAGCAACTACCTAATACAAAGCTTGACAAGGTAGGCTCAAGACCTGAATGCTTAGCACTTACTTGTATCCCATTTTGGGACCTACGTCTCCGACATACACTCCCTCGAGCGGCTCGTGAGTGATGAGGTCTCGGATTTGACAGATGAAAGGATGCGGTCCATGATTTTTTCCATCGATAATAAGTTGCGCCATGACAATGGCGTGGTTTGCCGTTCGTCCCAGCGTGCCAATCCACCATTTGGACGCCGTCAATGCTGGCGAATTGAGAATAAATGCCCTGTCGACGGGAGACCAAGTTGCAGTCGTTTCCAATCCGCGGACATTGGATCCATGGCCCAATTCGGTTTGCGCATAACAGCCTATGATGTCGAGATTCTCGGCCTTTTTCAGAAACAAATCGTGTTGCTCTAGTGTTCCTTGCTGGCGGATGGTCGGCTAACACCCAGGAACATATGCTTAACATCAGACAATCCTCGCAGTACTTTTTTGAGCCAGTGAGATGCTTCTCTACTTACAATGAACATTGTCCAATGGAGAGTGAATGACGTTGGCTCTCCCACGAGCTCGATGGCAGCGAGAAGATCTTCCTCGTCCCAATGGTGTGCCTTGTTCAGTTGGGCCAGGCGCTTTGCACGTCGGAGTGAGCGCTTGTACCTTTCGACCCTGTCCTCGAAATAGTTCTGGGTCTTGTCGAAGACGGCGTCGTTTTCAAGGATCCGCAAAAGACTTCCTTGTCGTTGCAGACCCTGTTCAGTATAGATGTAATTGGCCACTTCATCAGTGTTCAACGTGGAACCCTGCCGCTCGCGTGCAAGTAGAGCTGAGCCTTGCGGCTCAGTCGGTTGCAATGCTCCCACCCACGATGGACGGTCCATGGCTTGCTTCTCTTAGTTTCGGGGGGTTCACAAACTCAACGCACCATTCCCTCTATATGCGATTCAGGATTCATGAGTTCAATGTGAAGAGAGAGGGCCGGGATCCTAGCGAAGCTTACCTTAACTGGCTTGAGCAACTGTTGGCTTGTCCGCCTGGTTGCCATCTGGACTTTTCCTTGGTACATGGTGATGGAATCCCTCATAAAGAACGGGTTCCGAGGCTGTGGAACGACCGAGAGATCAGCCGAACAGGAGGCTCGTCGGACGATGATGCGAGTAAATGAATTGACCCGAGATATTATCCTCGCCGTCTTCGGCCGCTGAATTATCATAGTTCCAGCATTGTCAGTCGAGGTCACTACGCGATGACGGTCAGTTCCGACCTATCATATAAGAGGAACATATGAGACTGCTGCGAAGTCTGAAGATATGCCACGTTCGGGTTGTGTAGTGCGGCCATTTTATCTGACCAGCCGACGTATAGAATGATGACAAAACTCTGAGTAGACGTTCTTTTCCTGTGGACCGTGTGACATAATGATTATACGTTGCTTACAGGAAGGAGGGCGTCCCAGTCTGTAGTAGATTCGCCATCTCTTTATTGAGCGTGCATAGCTATGGATTACCCATTCCCTACTCTAAAAAACGGCACGCCACAAGGCGAAGTTTGATCGAAGATGCCGTCCAAGTTCATCTCGGCATTGGTGAAGTCGGAGTCCATCGTCCCGTCGAAGAAAGCATCATCTGCGTCCCTCAGATTCAACAGTTGTGACATGAAGTCGAGGTTGAGCTGTGTGGATTCAGCCAAACCATCCGTTCCTTCCTGGAGGGGCTCCATTGAGATGGTCTGATCTATGCGGTCGAAATTACCTTCAGTCATGCTTCCGATATTCTCCCGCGTACTATCCCAGGCCGACTCGGTTGGAGTGGCTCTGCGTGGTGGCGCTCGAGCACTCTTCTGTGTCGATGGATTTCCAGCTGCCGCCATGTCAGTGATATTCAGCGTCCTGGCCGTCTGGTCGTCAAGAAACTGGCACAAGAGCTGCAGTATCCAGTTATTGGCATCCCACGAACATCGAAGTTCCTCAAGGCCCATGAGACAGATCCGAGCCCGATACTCTGCTAATTGGCGGGCAGTCGCTCGTAGTGAGTGTCTCATTTGCAGCACGTGCACACAGAGCGTCGAGAACATGCAGGTAATGCTGATGACGTGAGTATATAGCAAATGATATATTGGGGATGGGTAGAAATACAGGTGAATTTGCCCATACTGGATCAAATCCTTTGCCAGCATGTCCTCGACAATCCTTGTATTGCGATGTGCTGCCTCGAGCGCAAAGGTATTTTCATTAGTCTCACCGGAAGAATGCTCGGTGCCTATGTTCACCGACCCATAGAGAAGAATCAAGAGATGACTGTCATGAGGTGTCAACCAGCTTCCGTAAATGAAAAGATGCAGGCTGTGCCTACTTGTACTGCAAATGCAACATGTCGTTCCATATCGACCCAAGGGTATTTCGAGCTTGCATCGATCCCGGCAATCTCTCCTCCCACATGGACAATTCATTTTTCAGCTTGGAATTGTCGTGTTTGGATGTCTTGTCCCGAGGAGCGAATTTCTTTAGTACGATTTTGCCCACTGAAGCGCACCGTCAGCAAAAAGACTTTATGCAAAGGGAACGAGCTACGCACGCAAGATGGCAAGCTCGGCCATTTGTATACAGTATTGTGCATGTTCAGGTAAACTACTGCCAAAGATTTCGGGTAGCTCCACGGGCCCGTTTTGCACAAAATCTTCTGGGTTGAGCTTCTCGACATCACAATCTTCATCTCGAATACGACTGGGAAGACCCAAAGATGCGGCACACTGGCGGTCTCGGATCTGCGGTATTTAGTGAAAACGTGCAGACGCAATGGGAATTTCTCCTCACATATAGAGACCACCAAATCCTCTTCCGTAAGCTGGATATGGAACGCTCTTGAGTAGCAGCGGCAGGGCCACCGCGAGGTGCGAGCGACCGGTGGTAACCACGCGTTTGGGCGAAGTTGACAGCCGACGCCAGCCAGTGTCTGGTGTCTTTGTCATTGCTCGCATCGGATCTCCAAAAACTGATGAGGAATAATGTTTGCACAATAGCCACCTTGTTGGCCTCCCAATCCGCGTCGAACAGAATTTTTGCACGGTTGTAGAAGTGGAATTTGGCGTCTTGCCGCGAGGAAAGCCCAGACGAGATGAGGAAGTCGTCAGGGACATAGCTCGTGCCGATGAACAGCATAGCTTGCAGCAGCATGGGTGACATCTTCTTCGCTCGGTACTGCCGGCTGACCTGGGATGCGTCGACGACGGGAAAGCACGGGTGAAACCACTTGAAGTACGCTTGGAGGAGGGCCTCAGTCACACCGTCTTCGGGGAACGTAAAGGCTTCTTCGCGGTTCAGATAGTCGAGAAGAGCGCCACTCGCCCAAGACATGCCTCGATTCTTACTGCGCGCCGTGGCCCTGTTTGTGCTATTGGAGAGCTTGTAGGTCAAATTGGCGGGTTCCAGGCTTGAGGTGTTTGTTGTCGAGGTCGGTACGTGGCCGTCGCTACTGGCGACCAGGGTTAATAGATTTGACTCTCCAATGTACACAGTCTCGTCGTTGGTCGTCATGGTGATGGTGCTAGATTCGTCGTGGTCATCGTGGGCAGGGGACTTTGCGGGTGAGAGCCTCGCTGTATCGGAATGCTCCTCGAGTGTGGTGGCGAGCTGGGCATCAATATGTTCCAACGTGTCACCGGCATTGTTCGAGGGCGTCGTCGTAGAAGGCTCGGTCAGATCAGTTGCTGTCGGAGCCAGTCCTTGACCCTCTCGTGCCCAATTCGTCCACGTATCTCGCCGCCGTCTGTGAGGTCCGTCGTCCAATGCGTAGTAATCTTGGTTCAGCAAAGCCATTTTCCTGAGCCAGTCCATATTAGCCTTGTTTCATTGGGGATCCGCCGCATAGGGCCCTTACCGCTCTCTGTTTGCTTCTCTTTTCGATTTGGTCAACTCGCAATGTATTCCAACGACTCGACAGTTGTGGCAGGGCCGGCTTTCCATGACATTGCAACGAACACGGCGTGCATGGCAATTCTGGCAGGCCTTCTTGGCCCGGGGAAGATACCGCGCGGACTTTTCGCGACTTGTGCTCATAGCAACGGCTTTTGTCTCAGATTCAGGTGGAATATCGAAAATCTGACCTGTGTTATTAGATACGCAGTGCCTTCTGTAGAAAGCCCTGAAAAGCGCGGGTACCTAGAAGAGCAGCGGGTCCGGATCTAGCGAACTCCCATCTCTAGGCTTTGAACCGGGCATCTGTATCTCCAGGCTGTGCCCCGCGTCTCCAGAATGAGCTCTGACAGCCTCCGACCCTGGCCTGGGCACTCAAAAGTACGTAACAAACTAGTATGTGAACCTCGGATAAAGGCTCGGTTGTCCGGCGGGGAATTACAGTACGGACCATTACCTCAACGCGGCCCTCACTTTGGAGTATTATTGCTGATAGTCTCAAAAAGTCTTGTGTTTCGGTTCGTTTGGTAATTTTCCTCTGGACTTTGCCGTCCCTGGGTCTAACCCCATCCCACCCGGGGACTATGGCATGAGTCGTTCTTCAGGTCCGCTAGGTGCTTAAGAGCGTGCTCTGGCAGCGGAGTACACTGCGCACGAGAGAGAGTCTTGGAGCGCGACGGTGAGTCAGCCCTTATATGTTGTACAAGAAAGAACCGCTTTGTATATCCGTCCAATAGCATTCCCTTCCTTGTCAATATACATACATACCAATGTGGTGTTGGGCCTTGGCAAGGCTGGTGAGCCTCTAGTTCTTCGTATGTAAAGGCAAGGTTGACGGAAACGCCGGGAGTCGACATTTTATTCATCATTCTCTTGATATCCATTTTCGATTTTTTATGTCTCTGGAGTATTCATCCCACCGACATGCCTAGGAACGCAGTTCGAATCTGGTCAAGTGCACACTTCTGTGAGGATCCAAAGATATGACTGACGGTCAAGCTGTATGAGATCGCGTGGCACAGAGGGCACAGACTGCTGGGTGAGAAGTGGGGTGAAAGACAGATCGCCGGACATCTCGTCAGGCCGTTTCCACACTGAACGTATCCCGAACGAGTTAAGACCACGTTGTACAGCACCGAGGAAAACGGCGAATACCGTGGGCAAGACCAATGCTAAGGGGAAATAAGTGACATTGGATCCTCGAGGTATACTTGGTAGACTGTGAGACGACTGATCGGGGGCATGTATGGAGCGGCATCTGACTGTCGACTGAGCGAGATTTTCGGGGTATGTATTGTCAATGGGATCAACAGCTTCCTTAACCTCTCGTCCCAGTATCATGGTCCCATCAACCCCATGGCTATCTAGTTATGCATTCTCCATGGCCCTGCTCGGGTCCAGAAGAGATCCTTTCCACCTTATTTTCACACCCAAACCTTTACCACATGTATGGATTCATGTTAGTCTCTTGCTTTATCATGTTGGCAAGTGAATTGAACTTTGTTCGTCATTAAACGGGGCTGGAGTAACTTTGGAGGACATCAAAGGAGGTAAGGGAATGGTGTCAAGAACCTACTTCATGTAGATGTTTCTGCTGTAACAGTTCTAACCAGCGTGTAATAACAAGAGGCAAATATGAGTCTGCCATTCTTGAGTATATGGGTCAGGTAGGAACGGACGATTGACACTCTCTGGATGCAGGTCAGGGCTGTACATTCACCTCATGGTACGATTGAATAGGGTATTGAGCGAAGGTCGATGATATCCTCCCAGCAATACCAGAAGTACGTGCTTTTCAAATACTTGGCTGCGATTCACTAATAGCAACATCCTTGTGACAAGACAGCACTCTCATCGGAACACTTGTCAAGGCATATCTCAAATTCGACGATGTTCCGAATTCGAGATTGTCCCAAATTCAAGCATGTCCCAGACTCAAGAACGCACCGTTGTGACGGAGGACGCAAAGAGATCGCAGAGGCTGTGGCGCAATGTCTCATCGAACTTCTCGCACAAGCAGTTAATGCATGGTTTACATCAGCCTTCCTCAAAGTCTGATTGGCAAGATCAGACAAGAGAATGTCTGACAGTTTTCTTTTTCCCTCGCTTTTTGTTGGGAATTTATAAAGGTAGAGAGAAATTGAGTGGCATCTGGTTGCTTTTGGGGCGGGCCTTGAATGACAGCCCCTGTGAGCGAGTTCTCGGAACTCCACTTTTCTTCATTCGAATTCATTGCTCAGGCAGAGAAGCGGAGTTCCTCCTGCAACCGTCGGGTGGTAGGTTTCTGAACAACAAAAAACGAACCGCGGAGATAGGGGTCTTCTTGTCTCTGTGGGTGTAAACCTTCCCTTGGTCCGTATGTCAAGAGCTGTATCACACTTTGGGGAGGATCCTATTTTCTTCCTTCAGAAAAGTACGAGCGCGGAATCTCACCGGTCTTGGATCCTTTTTTTCGGCCTGTATGGTCCTTACGAGTCTCAGCGTTAAGCAGGCGCCTCGTGCGTGGATATCATCATGGTCTTTGGCGCCGACGCATTCCATTCTTTGGTTGCAAGGAGACTCACGCTACCCGGTGCCCCTACACCTCCACTCACACCCAAAAACATAGAAAATTTGGTTTGCCAACCAAGAAACAAAGTATCTTGATGCCACCTTGGACCTCCCCGTTCTTGATCCACTGGACTGGGCAAGAGAGCTGCTGTGGATCGGTCGGGCTCTGGTCGGGAGGTTGAGACCTTGTCAGACTGCTATGGGTCATGTATAGATACCTTATGGAACTTTTGCTGGGTGTGATCCAATGGCGATAATATTTTCTCTTTGCACAGGTGCGTCTCATCAGACGATTAAGCAGAAGGGGGTATTACTTTCCGTGTCAGAACACCAAATCTTGAAGCTGGACGAGTTGAGGCTTGTCACTGAGGCAGCCTTGACCGATGGTCAACATTGGTCATCTGTGACCACCTCCATCCGTTTTCGAGTACGCTAGATCCTGCCTCCGCGCCTAGAGACGGCTCCTGAATGCCTCCGGACACCACGCGCCCACTCTCGCTTGTTTTAAAGATGATACTGGAACCGAGGTGTTCGATCATATGGCGTCGACTGACTGGGTTTGAAGAAAAGGCAGAGCAAGTGACACCGAGGGCCGCCAGCATGTCTCTATTTGTCAGGCTCGCTCTGTATGTGTCTGAACCGAATAAAAAGAGATTCTGTATCGATCGTCCTTGGGCTTCGATTACTGAGATCTCCCGGCAGGGAACCGTATCCATGAGTCTATGTGCCCATTTTGAAGCTTGATTAGTGAATTCAGGGCAAATCATAGAGGACTCGGCGTTGGGACGAAATGCGGACTTCTGTTAGCTCAATGCGGCCATGGTAATCTCAGTGTAAGATGAGAGCGATTCTCTGTCCCCTTTGAGCTATATCATAGGTCTTCTTCTCGCTCCAGATCATGGATTCTTTCTTCAACCTCCAGTTTTCTTCAACGACCAAAGAATTACAGATTCAGCCTTGCTAAAATGGGGAAGGATCATCTTGTATGAAGCCGTCATCGCCAACGTCTGCACTCATGGTTCTGGTATGAAATGGTCTCAGCCAGCGCCAATGAAAAGGAATTTTGGAGCGAAAGACCTTCGTCCCTCCGCGTTCCTAGGGATAGTGGAAGTGAGAAGGAGTTTGGCCAAGACATCAAACATTCCCAAGGCTGGCGAGGCTGCAAGCTGACCAACCAGAAGTCAAGGATGACTTGAAGTTCCGGGTAGGGCCAAGTATAAGGCTCGGCTCCGTTCAACGGCCGAGCAAACGGCTCACTAAAGTCCGAAAGAATTTCCCGCTCTTCAATTGCGGCGAAGTTCCCAGGCGCAAGCATTGAACTGCACCCGTTTCTTACCTCTATTTCTTTTCCTGCTGTTTTAAATACCTTTGCTTGCTGGATCTACAGGGCATGAAGCCCTACAATGAGTGCAACCTCTCGACTCTCCAATCTCTTCTCTCAAGATAACACGCCTAGAGACTCTGTCCAGATTCAACGCAATGGCTCCGCCGAGTCAGAACTCGAGATCGACAGCGCACGACAGATTAAACGCCAACGAACAATGGAAAAGTTGGCGGAGGAGGAAACCGATGATGAGCTGAAGAGGCCTCCTTATCTTCATGTATGGCTGCCGTACCCTCTATTCATTTTGCTGGTTTTGCTCACCCGGTACAGTCCATGCTCGCTGGTGGAATCGGTGGAACCAGCGGCGACATTCTCATGCACTCTTTAGACACAGTCAAGACGAGACAACAAGGCGATCCCCATTTTCCTCCTAAGTACTCCAGTTTGTCCGATTCATATGTCAAGATTTTCCGGCAAGAAGGCATCAGGAGAGGCCTCTACGGAGGATTCACAGCGGCCATGCTGGGGTCGTTTCCTGGCACGGTGACATTTTTTGGTTCATATGAATATTGCAAGAGACATATGCTCGATAGAGGAGTGAGCCCGTCTCTTGCATACCTTGCAAGTGGTATGATAGCCCGTTTGTCTGGCAAAAGGTTCAATGGTTGACAAAGTGCAGGATTTCTCGCCGATTTCGCAGCATCGGTTGTCTATGTCCCCTCCGAAGTTCTCAAGACCCGATTGCAACTACAGGGGCGATACAACAATCCCTTCTTCAATTCTGGATACAATTATAAATCTACTTGGGACGCGGCCAAAACAATAGCGAGAACAGAAGGATTTGGTGCGCTTTATTCGGGATACAAGGCCACAATCGTGAGAGACCTCCCATTTTCCGCCTTACAGTTCGCATTCTACGAACAAGAGCGCAAATTCGCACAGAGGTGGAGCGGAAAGAATGATATTGGCCTTGGATTGGAGGTGTCGACTGCAGTCTCGGCGGGCGGTATTGCAGGCGTTATGACCTGTCCATTGGATGTAGTCAAGACACGGATACAAACCCAGATTTCCCCGGACAATCATACGAAACACAGTCAGGCAGCCCATCACGAGAAGACGATCAAGAATACTCCGACCTCACAGTCACAGACACGTTTGATCCACTCGGGACCGCGAACTGTTCCCCATACCGCTCCTACCTTGGACACCTCTTCCGTGATAACGGGGCTCAGGCTCATCTACCAAACTGAGGGTGTACCGGGCCTGTTTCGTGGCGTTGGCCCACGGTTTGTGTGGACAAGCGTCCAAAGTGGAACGATGCTTGTCCTGTACCAATATTTGTTGAAGCAGATGGAGCGTGTGCGATCCAGCGAAGGATCAGGAGTGATGTAAATATTTCTGTGTACGTTTGCAGTACCGAGTACTCCGTACTCCGTGCCAACTGGTGTCATTGTATGGGGATACCCTTGGATAGGATGTCAGGCGATGATAGATATAGACTGTACTATAATGCACAAAATCTTCGGCTCTTCAGATTTGTCCTTTTTGTACGTACAATAAATACACCTTTTTTGCTCGTCGATCAGGATCCATCCTGGTGTCGGTGGCGCATGGGTGCAGATATTGAAGGACGGGCCGGGGAAGGGATCAGGGGTTTGGAAGCTGGCAGTACTCTCACACTCCGTACTCATAGTATAGTGAGGAGAGTGGAATCGATCAGACGGGCCTGCAGTGCCCTGGGAAAAGCTCCGATGGGTTCATCCAATCAGTGAGGGGCCTCGTACTCGTACCAGCAGTCTATGCCCAATCCAGACTTGGCGTGATCCCCTTTTTCCACCGTTGCTTGATTGCAGCCAGCGAAGGAGAGACAGATCAACGTTCAAACGTCCTTTCAGGAATTCAACCATAGGAGCAGACGACGCTGTCTATCTTCCTCTTCGTGTCCTTTTTTTGCTTCTCTTTGTGTCGAGCGCATCTGCTTTCTTCTTACGCTCGTTCGAAAACGCCATTACCAACACCGGCGGAATTCACGACTTGACCACTCTGTATGTCCACGTCCTCACTCTTCCTCTCCATGCGTGTCAAGCCTCCCGAAATCTCTGGGGACCCCTTGCTTCACAGGCACGACTGCCATCGTATCCCGTCGCATCATTGTCATACCTCATATCTTGTGCGCATACTAACAGCTTCAGGTCGCAGTTGCCTTAGTTCACTTCTCTTCTCGTGTCTTCACAACTACACTTCTTCCATTTGAGAAATGGGTTCGTCACTCTTTCAATCTCCGTCTTTCCTCAACCTCCGCCTACATTCTTCTCCCATCTCCCTCCATTTGAAAAAGAATGTCGGCTTGCGTCTCTAGCCTCACATGTTCCCTGGTTGCCTAAATGCACCTTCAAAAAATGGGTATGATGGGGTTTCGGAACACAGCCAGTCCAGGCGTGGACTCGAAGACTTTGGACGTCCCTGATCGTCAAGAGAAATCAACTTTTCACTTCACTTTGCCTACAATTCAGATTACTCCTTCCCAGACAACCATGGCTGACCTGACTTCAAATACAGCTGCCGTCTCCCCCAACGGTGTTCGGTCCTCTCCTTCCCCCAGCGTTCCCAATGGAAAGCCTGCATCCCCCTTCGTCAAGGAGAGCAACCCCATGGGAGCCAATGCTGCACAGACCGTCAGCTCCAAAGACCCCAAGGCTGCAGCTGCCGCTGCAAATGATATGAGAAATGTGGTCAGAAGAAAATTGACTGGTTATGTTGGTTTTGCGAACCTTCCCAACCAGTGGCACCGCAAGAGTGTCAGAAAGGGTTTCAACTTCAACGTCATGGTTGTCGGTAGGTTCAAGAACAGGGACTCTACGGCGAAATCGGAATTGACATGCCTCAGGTGAATCTGGACTGGGAAAATCTACATTGATCAACACGCTCTTCAACACTTCTCTCTATCCACCACGCGAACGCAAAGGCCCAAGCTTGGATATTATCCCAAAGACTGTATCCATCCAGTCTATCAGTGCCGACATTGAAGAGAACGGAGTTCGACTGAGGTTGACCGTGGTCGACACACCCGGCTTTGGCGACTTTGTCAACAACGACGACTCTTGGAGGCCAATTGTGGAAAACATTGAGCAGAGATACGATGCATACCTCGAGGCCGAGAACAAGGTCAACCGGATGAACATTGTTGACAACAGAGTCCACGCCTGTGTCTACTTCATTCAGCCCACTGGCCACTCTTTGAAACCCCTGGACATTGAAGTCATGCGCCGCCTGCATACCAAGGTCAACCTGATTCCCGTCATTGCCAAAGCCGATACCCTGACCGATGAAGAGGTGGCACTGTTCAAGCAGAGAGTGAGTCTCCTGCGTGTCATGACTATAGAATAATAGTGTACTAACCTAGCTAGATCCTAGCCGACATCTCCCACCACTCGATCCAGATCTTCGAAGGTCCCAGATATGAACTGGACGACGAAGAGACCATTGCCGAGAATCAAGAGATCATGTCCAAGGTTCCGTTCGCTGTTGTCGGTGCCAACTACGAAGTGACCAACCCTGAAGGTCGTAAAGTACGAGGCCGCCGTTACCCTTGGGGTATTATCGAGGTGGATAATGAGGATCACTGCGATTTTGTCAAGCTTCGACAAATGCTGATCCGAACGCACATGGAAGAACTCAAGGAACATACCAACAATGTCTTGTACGAGAACTACAGATCCGACAAGCTCATCCAGATGGGAGTCTCACAAGACCCCAGTGTCTTCAAGGAGGTCAACCCTGCAGTGAAGCAAGAGGAAGAGCGGACCTTGCACGAGCAGAAGCTTGCCAAGATGGAGGCAGAGATGAAGATGGTCTTCCAACAAAAGGTGCAAGAAAAGGAAAGCAAGCTGCAGCAGAGCGAGGAAGAGCTGTTTGCTCGTCACCGCGAGATGAAGGAACAGCTGGAGAGACAGCGCGCAGAGCTCGAGGAGAAGAAGACTCGCATCGAACAAGGTCGACCTATTGAGAAGGAGGGCAAGAGGAAGGGCTTCTCACTCCGTTAGATGATGACAGGCCGCTTTTCGCCGATGTTTGGCCTGACCTTACTTTTCTACCATTTGCACTTCAGCTCAGCGACGAGACGACGATGGCGATACCTTGTTTTCTAACACCACTTTCATTTTTATTTTCTTGCACGTTTTGTTGGTATTGTCTGAAAGCCAGTGACAGACCGGGGCTGTTACAGTCGCTACGTTTAATCACATACATGGATGCCTCGAATGGAGGACGACGGTCGAAGGGGAGAATCCTTGGCTTGTGCGTAATGCAACAAATCTGGTCTGGTCTGATCAGGTCCGGTTTCAGCACATCCAAGTCAGCTAGGTAGTTATGGTAAATGGAAGGGCTTAGGATCTTCATTCACAGCCATCATGTATATTTCCTTGACCATATGGTAGTATTCAGAGTTGTCGGGTAGGAGGGGTTAGGAGCATGCTTTGATAAGAAATAAAAAGTTGGCATCTTTCCACTCCGAAGGTATTTGCCGAATAGTGTAGTCTTCTTGTGAGATGCAGGGTCACTTGAGGAATTTCCGTATTGCGCAAAGTGATGTCTGTACTCGGTACATTCCATCATGGTACGAGGATTAATAGTGCGCGGAATGACGAGATAGGGGACCCAGATAGGCGAGACGGCTGGTATGAAGGCTAAAAGTACTCGTACCTAGGTACTCCGTGGCTAAGGTACCTAAGGTATTTGGTAGGCAGACTCCGTTTTCCGTATTGTGTGCACGTACTCCGTCCCTACTCGGCAAGGGAGTCTGTTTGATGTTGAAGGGGGAGACATTTTGACATGTGCACGAGGCAAATACCGCATGGACACGATGATGTGTCGATGGACGATGGAAGGACAGACGTCTGTACGTGCGCAGATAGTGGGCAATTTGACGTAGTGAAGCTGGTCTGTTCTTTGTTGGTGGGTGCTGAGAAAGACTTGTCGTAGCTTAAACGCAGCTTGGAGGGGTTGACATCATTGCGCCCGTGAAAAAGCCACCTGTAGCTTCTTTCTATGGAGCAGTGAATTCCTTGCTATTCCCCCCAAAAGTTGTTCTCTCTTGGTACCTTCACCACCACCATTTGCTATCTTCCTTCTCCCCCTCCACTGTTCGACTCTTGCTTCAAAACAGCTCCTGGAGGCGTACATTGCTCGTTTGTCACCAAACACCACCTCGGTGTTGTTGTTGCGTACATAGCTTCTCATCCTTTTCACTCGTTCTCATCCACCTCCCTCCATCGAATCTCCAAAGTCTCCCTCCTCACGCAGTCTCCTACTTGCGTCTTGACCGCCCCTCCATTGACTTCCTCTGAAGCTTCACGCAATGGCTCCTCCATCTCCCCCCAATGCCTCGCTTGGCGAACGGGTAACTCGACTCGCCACGACCCTGCAATTGTGAGCAAGATATTCTATTTTTGCTGGTATTTTTCTCAGAAGAGCTGGCTGATTGACTCAATACAGTGCCTGGTTCCTCGGTCACTTCACCCTCTTACTCTCCGTCTTCCGTTACGGCCTCTCCTACTTCACGTTCAACTACAACTCTAAATGGGCAGCTTTCACCTACAGACTCGCCTTTGTCTCGGCCGTCGCAACATACGGGATCGTGGTCTTCAAGGCCTATCGTGCCCGTGTGAAGCCAGGTGACCCCGTCGGCCGTACCGCGATTCTCTTGCTCTCTGATGAGAACGTTCAATACTTGCGTACGTGGACGAATCTGACAGTCGGATTCAGAAAAACTAACGAGGAACTCTAGTCATCAGTTTGGTTTGGCTCTACTCGAGGCAGATCCCTCTAGCACTGTTGCCCTTCTCCGTCTACTCGGTCTTCCATGTCGCAACTTATACCCGTACCAACATTATCCCCACCATTTCTCCTCCAAAGGTGGCGCCAGGTAGTACTCCAACCTCCCCCGGAGCGTCCAAGTCGCAATCCCCTCTTGCGACCGCCATTGGAAGATTTGTCAAGGAATACTACGACAGCTCGATGATGTTGGTGGCTGCCTTGGAAATCCTCTTATGGTTCCGTCTGGTCCTTTCAGCCTTGACCTTTAGCAAAGGTTCGTGGGTTCTGTTAGGCATCTACACCGTTTTCCTGAGGGCGAGATTCCACCAGAGTTCATTCATTCAAGGTGCCTTTTCGCAAGGGTCTGCCCACATTGATCAACAAGTCCAGAACCCCAACGTTCCACCCGCTGCCAGACAAGCTTGGGAAACCATCAAGGGACTTGGTCGACAGGTGGTTGACGCCACAGACGTCCGAAAGTACATTGGTGGAGCTGCTGCTCAAAAGAAGCCTCAGTGAGGACACCACAAGGTTATTAGCAAGGGCGAAACAGAATGGTCGGCTAGACCATTTGGGTGGTCAGCCACGGCTCTTGTCATCAATAACACTGAAGCTAAGGACAGGACGATAACGTTCTGAAAGTCGATTGCTGGCAGATGGAAGCAGGAGAGAGCTGTTGAGGACTGGTGAAAAAGAAAACAAGTTGGGAACGAATGAATGTGGAAAACCGATTGAGAGCTGTTGAAATTTCTTGTGTTGCGCGCGTCTCGACAAAATCTTGTCAATGGCCACGAGACTTTTGGTCGGATGACGTCTCAAAGAGCTTTGTCGCAAAAGGGTCGTCATATCATGTCGATCCTCCAAAGGGCTGAATGGGAGAGCGCGCTGCGTTTTGTATGTGTGCGTATTAAGGCGAGACAGGTGGAAATGATTGAGCATTGCTTAGGCGCCTGGATTCAAACGCTCTACTTCGAGGTTGCTTAGGTCAGATACACATAGGTATGTATGTTTGGATTACTGGCAGCTTGAGAGGCATGTTTTGCTCGGCTTGGGTCATCAAGTAACAGTAGCTTGGGCATGAGTAACTTGACAGAGGGGATGAAAATAGGGATGAGTTAGTATTACAGATGAGTATTTGCTAGTGTTGGTCGTATCTTTTCATCATACGTCCGCCTGTGTCCTGTTCCTTTTTGATCTTGTATTGCAGATTGTAGTACCAATGGTGCCCATCTACTCTCTCGCTTCCTCCCTGACTGAGACGAAAGAAGCTGTCCAGCAAAGGTTATTCCGTCCTCCGTCTCCCGCGGTATCAACAATCACCGGGACGAGTACGAGAGTACGAAAACGAGAGCCGATAAGGGTAGTTCCGTACAAAGTACCTACACAAAAAAGATATGGATGAAGGTGAATGCCTGGAAGCGGGACTCGTTGAAACACGCCAGTTCTACTCGTTGCTTGATTCTGAAAGGTTTTCGATGCCCATCGCAAAATGGCGTTACCTAGGTATCAATCCCTGATGTCAATGTCACGGTGCTGTAATGAAAGAAACATTCATGGGAGATTTCGGCCATGATGGCTTTTCTCTATTTTTTTCTGAGGAGCTCTCCATCATAGGAGTCGTCCTCTATTTCTAGGCCGCTTTGCATGCGCGTTTCTTCCGCCGCAGTCCTATGCAGCTTCGTCGCGGGCGTTCAGCTGCTCTTCGGGATTCTGTGTTCGCCGGCACTTCTTCGGTGAGGTTTGCCACTTCCCCTATTGTGCTTTTGCGGCTGTCTCATCCATTGGCTCCGCCCTTTCCAGATACCCGTACATCTCGTCGCACGACACAAAAATGTCTCTGTCCTTGAACGACTTGTCCTTGGCCTTGAAACGTTGGCATGTCTTTTCATCCGCAAAGTCCTCCAGGCGTAACCGCAGGCCGAGCGTCTGGTTGTCCGTGGTTGATTTGTCGTCGTCATTGCGGAATGTCTCGTCACAACGTCAGTCGTGTGGCCCAAAAATCATAGAACCAGTGGAGTCTTACTCGGTTTCTGACGACGGTCTCGACGACCCAAACTTCGTCCTCTCGCTGCTTTGCCCGCCAGACGGAAAAGACGGCCCTCTTGGTCTTTTCGTACTCGAGGTTCACCCCTACCACGACCCGGACCTCGAGGTTACTTCCCAATATGTACTCCTCGGCGAGAAGTCTAGAAACTCTCCAGTTTTAGTGCTCCAAATGCGCCACCTCGACGACCACGATGGACGACGGCGACATGAAGTGCCGGAAAGATTGGTCGGGAGAGTGGAATCCGTATTCCCGATTCAGAGGCGCTATTGCTCTACATCCTAGATTCTCAATGTCTTTCGCAGACTCTCCGGCAGGACGAGAAGATGACTCGCAGGCACTGGCCAGTAGACGTAACTGTTCTGTGATACGACGGATGAGCCGACCCAAAAATACCTGATGAACTATCGTGGTCTTGCGGAACAAAAGTTGCCGAGTCGAAGGAAAATAGTCCAAAAGCCTGCATAGCTCACACAATTACGGAGTAAAGGGTCAGTATCTTTTCTCGACCGACGGAGTACGTAGGTTCGTATTTGAAGAGATGTTTTGGACATGCCGCAACCTGTGGTCCTCCCATAGTGATTCTTTCACGGCATCCCACACCTTCCTGTCGACATTATCTATCGTCTGGCCTGCGGTCCTAGACTTGTGATTAGTTGAACATTAATAAATGTATCAATGAATCCTCAGGCACTGAAGTGAATGTAGATCCATGATTGCCAAGTAAGTACTCCGTAGGCACAGAACCTACTGTGCGTTTTAGCAGCTTAACTGACATTCGAGGGCGGCAACGGGATAGAATCCCCTAGCATCTCGAATGGGTCCTTTTTTTCGTCTAATAACGGAGTAGTTAAACAACCTATTGAATGGAAGTAATTTATTAGGGGGCTCTCAACTTCCCCCCCAGCCAGTAAAAGTTCCCACCAAATCGGTCACCGGGAACTCACCAAGATCTCCGTTCATACGGAGCACAGATGATAATCCTCACCAAAAATCCGATCTTCGCAGGCCGACACTCTCCATACTCCGTCACCATAGATTGTGACTCAAGCCTGTGTCTTTTTTTTGGCCGGGGGGCTGTTCAAGAAAAAGAAGGGGGAAAAAAATAATAATTCCCGGTTTCTACTACCCTTCATTCTTCCGCTTCTCTACTCTCCGGAGCAATTAATTCCAAGAGAACCAAAAAGGTGTTGCCATGCTCTCTCGACCTCTGGCTTATTCTACTTCTTCTATTGCTTTCCTCCCCTCGTCGACGTCGTCGTCATCCTCAACATTGCGACGTCTTAGCACTAATCTCGCGTGTCGGGTCAACAAATCGGAGGCTCCCTTTTCAGCAGCAGAACAACTCGGACTAATCGGCGTGCACCATTCATCATCACATCAGCCATCTTCTTCACTTCCCCCCTGGTTCCGGTCCGCTAGATTCATAGGTACTTCTTGTCGTACCGCTAGTAGTAGATCTACTCCTGTCTCCTGTACTTCCGGGATCTACTGGTCCTTTTCGAGGATCCGCCCAGCCGCCCCGTCACAGTCGTCATTCTCGAAGTCGTCCGGCGACCTTTTTATATCTCGCCGATTCCCATCCTCTCTGCGAGTACTAATACAACAGACACGATTCTGCAGCAGCTCTAGCCACAAGCACTCGACGACTCCCTCGACACACACAAACAACACGACCACCGCCGCACCACCCGAGGGACAAAAGGCGGACGAAGAGGAAGAAGAGTTCAACCCCATCACCATGTCTCCAGGTTAGTTCCGTCCATCTCAGTATTTTTTTTCCCTACTGGAGTTTTACAATGTCCTCCTCCATTCATACCCCACTGCTTTTGCTATGCATTCAACATCAAAGAACCTAATGCATCGATTCGTGTTCGAATGATGAAGGGAAAAAAGATTCTTCAATTGTTCTTTTCATCCCTTGAGTGCCTATTTTGATCTTCATGTATTGTCTGCACGGCCTGTATGATCTGCACGACCATCCAAAATTCCACCTCAACAATTTTTGTTTGGCGTGCTCAGTTCACGTGACCACCACCACCACCACCAACATCACTACCACCATTCGTTTCCCCCCTTGTCCTGTTGCTCTGTACCCACTGAGTTGTATCGTTCGATACCTCATGTCAGCTACAGAGTACCCATGTTATGATGCATGCGCACATCATTTTTTGTTTGTGATCTGATACGCTGCAACTTTCCCGACCCGACCCGTCAACTCCCGAACGTCGCAGGACTTCCTTGTGTTTCCCTTTTGGGATGACGAAGAAAACACCCCCGAGTGTTTCGGTGTGTCAGTCAGCCAGCCGAATTTGAAACTAACCCAGACGCTGCCTTGTCTGTGTAGATCCGAACTCCGATGACGCCTTCACCAAGGCCTTCAACAACAACTCGGCGTGGCGACGGTCCCTGGCCGAGACCGAGCCGGAGCTGTTCGAATCCCTGGGCAAAGGCCAGTCGCCCCAGATCCTCTGGATCGGCTGCGCCGACTCTCGCTGCCCGGAGACGACCATCCTGGGCCTGAAGCCGGGCGAGATCTTTTGCCACCGCAACATCGCCAACATCCTGACCCCGACCGACATCAATTCCCTCTCGGTCATCCAGTTCGCCGTCCAGTACCTCAAGGTCAAGCACATCATCATCTGCGGACACACGTCGTGCGGTGGCATCGCCGCCGCCCTGGACAACAAGAAGCTGGGCCTGATCGACACCTGGCTCATGCCGCTGCGGGCCATCCGCCGGGAGAACCTGGGACTCTTGGACAGCCTCGACGACAAGGAGCGGGCCCTGAAGCTCGTCGAGCTCAACGTCCGGCACGGCGCCAAGGTCCTGCACGAGAACCCAATCGTCATCGACGCCATCCAGGAACGAGGGTTGCAGGTCCACGGCCTCATCTACAACGTCGGCACCGGGGAACTCAGGGAGCTGGACATTGGAGAGGACGATGACGTGGTCAAGAGCCGTCGCATCGCCTTCAAGACCGAGTGAACCAGAAACCCACTGACCGGCGATAAGGGACCTTTCTTTTTTTGGGGGGAGGACGAGGGGATTCCTTGTTCTTTTTTCACCTACTTCTTGTGCCGGGAGACGTGGAATTATTGCTTCCTTGAAAGGCGAGCCGGAGAATCATCAAAGTAAAGTAAATGTCAAAACTCTTGAACGAGACCCTTGTTTTCCTTCTTCGATAGAGGTAGTCCTCTCCAAGATGAGTGCGTATTGGGGAGGGTGAAATGACAAAATGTCAGCGAGAGACCAAATATTTTTTCCTTCTGTTGCCGGTGGGTGTGTGTGTGTGTGTGTGTGTGTGTATGCGTGCGTGTTGTCCGATGTGTGGTGCAACTCACACACAAGTCTGTGTGGGAAAGTGAAACACTGCCACCAGATGTTTTTGGGGGGGTTGGGATGAGAGAGATTTGACGAAAGTGAAAGGAGCTAGAAGAAGAAGAAGAAGAAGAAGAAGAAGAAGAAGAAGAAGAAGAAGAAGAAGAAGAAGAAGAAGAAGAAGAAGAAGAAGAAGAAGAAGAAGAAG